TGTGTTCTTCCATCTTATTAATACTCTAGCATGGAAGAGCTCATTTCAGATTTACCTGTCTTCCAGCGGTCTTACTCATAAAATGATCAATAGTTAGTGGCTCTAGGGAAACCTTGTGAAGAAGCAGACTGTGAATTATTTTTTTCTACTCTTGTCCTTAACTTTATCACCATTCTAAAAGCTTTTTGCCATCATGTTGCACAGTTGCACACTTCCTTGCCCTCTTTCTTTGTTTTATCAGTGCTCCACAATCCAAAATCCTCATTCTCTAATAATTCCTCCTATTATGTCTAATCCCATTGTCTTAGTGCCTTATAGTTTGAATGGTAATGGGTTTTTCATAAGTGACCTTGCATTGTACTCACTTTTATATTTACACTAGAGGCCCGGTGCATGAATTAATGCACATGTGGATTCTGGCCGGCCTGCCTTGATCAAAGTGATCAGGTGGGCTAGCTGGGGGGAGGGGCTGAGGACAGTTGGCAGCCTGGCCCTGTTCCTGATTGCAATGTGGAGGCTGCCAGGGGGTGGGACTGGCTGGGTAGAGGGACTGTGGGTGGTTTGCTGGCCGGCCTTGCCCCTGGTTGAACTCCAGGTCAAGGGGACAATTTTCATATTAGCCTTTTATTATATAGGATTTGGAAAGCAGATGTGCACAGTAGAAATCAGAAAAGGAGTGTCTTTAAAATATTGAAGTTATTAACATTTTGCCATTTTAATGTAAATTTTTACCATTTTAGGTGTACAATTGAGTGATATCAAGTATGCTTACATTGTTGATCAAGAAGCACCACTGTCTTATCTCTAGAACTCTATTCATCTTGAAAAACTGAAAATTTCTACTCCTTAAACAGTAAAACTTGATTCCCCCTATCCTTTCAGCCTCTGGCAACTACCCCTTGATTTCTCATTCTATGAATTTCACTATTTCAGATGCCTCATAAAAGTGGACTAGTGCACTATTGGTCATATTGTAACCTATTGCATCTAGTGTTATATATTAGTATAATGTTCACCCATGTTGCAGCATGTGTCAGAATTTCTTTCCTTTTTAAGCCTAATATTCCAATGTATGTATTTGTCACATTTTGTTTATCCATTCATCTGTTGATGGGCATTTGTGTTACTTCCAACTTTTGTTGGAAAATTGTATATACATATATCAACACTTAGGGTATAAATTTTTTTTTTGTGCTGGTTCTGACATTATATCTTAGAAGGTGGAGAAGAATTTATGTATCTGGGCCTGAATTTCTTTTTAAAAATTGATTTATTGATTAATGATTGATGAGATAGAGAGAGAGAGAGAGAGAGAGAGAGAGAGAGAGAGAGATCAATTTGATTTTCCACTAATTTATGCATTCATTGGTTAATCCTTGTATGTGCCCTAACAGGGACGGGATCTGCAACCTTAGTTCATCAGGAGGGAGCTCTAACCAAATGATTACCAGGCAGGGTTGGGCCTGAATTGCTTAAGTCCACATCTGGGAGACTAGTCACATGTTCACTCAGACGACTCATGAAGTCCCTTGATCTGAATCTGTGTGGAGAGAATTCCAGGAAACAGCTTGAACTAAGCTTCCATCTACATGTCTACAGATAAAAGTTTGCAGGGCCTTGCAGAAAGATGTGGTTTGCTCTAGAACTTTATCCTAGTAGCCCTCAGAGGATTTTTGTTTTGTTTTCTAAAATGAATGGTCATAAATAGAGAACTAAAACAGTGCTTGCTTTTGCTGCTGGCACTTCATAAAAATGACTAGTTAATTTTTTGCTTAAACTAGTTTTTATTGATTTCAGAGAGAGAGGAAGAAAGAAGGATAAATAGAAACATCTATGAAGAGAAAATATTGATTGACGGCCTCCTGCATGTCTCCTACGGGGGATCGAGCCCCAAACCTGGGCATGTGTCCTGACTGGGGATTGAACCTCCTGGTGCATGAGGCAAAGCTAAACCAACTGAGCCACACTGGCCGGGCAAAAATGACTAACTTTAAAAAACTCATGTAGTCATAGGGACATATCCTCATGCTGATCCCAGAGCTTTCTCTCTGGTCGTTGAGAACCACCTTGGTCTAGGACAGTTACCACAAATGAAACCTTATGAATAGGTATCATGCTGGCTGCAACAAAACCACCTGCAGGAGCTTTAAAATGTTCATATTAGTGGATCTCAGTCCTGGAAATGTTTCATACAGTTATTGTTGAGATCCCAGAATCTGTCATTTTAAATCACTCACACACTGATTGTATTATCAGCTGTTGGATGAATATCAGCTGGTATATCTCCCACAATTTGATAGCTGATGAAGAAGAGAGTTCTAAGTTATGCTACAGGCTATTGATACAAATCCTCAGCTCCTGGTCTATCCGTGGGGGAACATTATTTGATTAAAGTGAAAGTCCACAGAATGTGGTAGATAGGTGGTTGTAGAAAGCATTTTTTAAATTATATTTTATTTTTTATTGTTGAGAGTATTACAGATGTCCTCCAATCCCCACCCTCCTTAGTCCCCTCCTCTAAGCCCTCGCCTCACCCCAGGCCTTCCTCACACTATTGTCTGTGTTTGTTGGTTATGCATAGATGTACAAAAGTTCTTTGGTTAACCTCTTCCATCCATCTGCCCCCCAAACCCTCTCAGAGATATGTCAGCCTGTTCCATGAATCCAAGTTTCTGGGCCTGTTTTGTTAGTCAGTTTGTTATGCTCATTAGACTCCACATATAAGTGAGATCATGTGATATTAGTCTTTCTCTGACTGGCTTATTTCATTCAGCATAATATTCTCCAGCTCCATCCATGCTGTCACAAAGGGTAAAAAAATCCTTTTTTCATAGCCCGATAGTATTCCATGGTGCAAATTTATCACAACTTTTTTATCCACTGATCCACTGATGGGCACTTGGGCTGTTTCCAGATTTTAGCTATTGTAAATAATGCTACTATGAAAATAGGGGTGCATATATTCTTTCTGATTGGTGTTTCTGGTTTCTTAGGATATATTCCTAGAAGTGGGATCCCTGGTCAAATGGCAGTTCCATTTTTAATTTTTTGTGGAAACTCCATACTGTTTTCCACAGTGGCTGTACCAGTCTGCATTCCCACCAGCAGTGCATTAAGGTTCCCTTTTTCCTCCATCCTCTTCTGCACTTATTGTCTGTTGATTTATTGATGGTAGGCATTCTGGCAGGTGTGAGGTGATACCTCATAGTAGTTTTAATTTACATCTCTATGATGACTAGTGACTCTGAGCATTTTTTTTCATACTTCTATTGGTCATCTGTATGTCTTCTTTGAAGAAGTATGTATTCAGATCTGTTGCACATTTTTTAATTGGATCGTTAAGTTGTATGAGTTCAAAGTTGGAGGGATCACAATTCTGGATACCAGATTATACTACAAAGCTTTTGTAATCCAAACAGCCTGGTACTGGCACTAGAACAGGCATATAAACCAATGGAACGGAACAGGGACCCCAGAAATAGACTCAAGTCAATATGTTCAATTAATATTTGTCAAAGGAGGCAAGAGCATATAATAAAGACAGTCTCCTCAATAAATGTTTTTGGGAAAATTGGACAGGTACATGCAACCCCCCCCCCCCCCAAGAAACCCAAAAGTAGATCACCAACTTATATTATACACAAGAATAAATTCAAAATGGATAAAAGACTTAAATGTAAGACACAGAACCATAACAATCCTAGAAGAAAACATAGGCAGTAAAACTGCAGACATCTCACATAGCAGAAATTTTGTCGATGCATCTCCTAGGGTAAGAGAAACAAAGGGAAAAATAAATAAACGGGGCTTCATCAAGTTAAAAAGCGTCTGCACAGCAAAAGAAACCACCCTCAAAATGCAAAGGGAACCCAGTGTAGGGGAAAATATATTCACCAAAGTTACCTCTGATAAGGGGTTAATTTCCAAAGTAGAAATCCTTTTTTATGCTAGATCTGCATTAAGACTATAGGATTTGTACTTCTGGCCTGATACACTTTGCTTAGTTATCTCATCTTGGAATGAACAAAACAGTAGGAGATTAAGATATTGATCTGAGATCACTCTTTATTGATGTTCTAACTTCAATTATGATGTTTCTTCTGTCTAGGATTCATATTTAAAAAATGATTCTGAAATTCATTTGATTTTTTCTCCTGAATTTTTTATTAAAAAGAAAACATATCTTACAATTGTTTATATTTTAAGACTGAGGAAATATTGTATGTGATGTAGTAGTGAATTTTCAATGAAAGACTGCTTATTTCAGTTCAATTTAGCAAATATTTAGTAAGCACTTAGTAAATGTCAGTCATTGTTCTATATTGGGGTACAGTACTGAAAAGTGAAGACTCACTCAATAAAGACTTTGTATTACTTCCTCTGATTTCAACCCCAAATTCTTCCTGATTCAGTGGATTCTAGGCAGGCCCACAACAGGTACATGAGAATATATAGTACTGTTTTAAAATGCTCAAAAAAAAATTGCTATCTTCCAACTGCAGGAATACCCTGCATGCGCTGTTAAAGTGCTTGCATGTCAGGTATTGTCATAAGGAAAAAAAAAGACCTGAGATCTTCAGATAGTCACTGTTTAGATTTCTAAACGCAGGTGAGAACTGACATGTGCCTCAGTGTCACAGATGAGAACCTTGGTATTTGGGTGGTAACCTAAGAAACATTGCAATGCCTGTCCGCCAGGGGGTGCAGCTTCCCAACACAAACACATTTCCTGTGTGAAATACAGGCTTACCAGTATATTTATCATTTCACTGTGACTTCAGCATTTCTTCATGTTAAGAGTCAAGAACATTACTTAGATGATACTGTAGAGATGAACTCTTCTCTGGGCTTAGTGGCTGTGGTGTTCTTAGTGCTTCGTAAGTAACACACCTCTTAAAATATGGAATATTTCTTCTATTATGTCAGCAAATTCTTTAACTTTAATTTTATTGAAGAGCTTCATGCCCAAGGTGACAGAGTTCTCTTTTATTTTTCCACAGGACGAATCCATGGAGACTCGGTGACCCAGACAAAAGGCCAAGTGACCCTCTCAGAAGGGGCTCCCCTGACTGTGAATTGTTCCTATGAAAGCACACGGTACCCTGCTCTTTTCTGGTATGTTCAGTATCCTGGAGAAGGTCCACAGCTCCTCCTGAAAGCCACAAGGGTCAACGAGAAGGGAAGCAGCAAAGGATTTGTAGCCACATACCAAAAACAACCAAATGCCTTCCACTTGGAGAAAGCCTCAGTCCACCAGTCAGATTCTGCAATGTACTACTGTGCACTGGGTGACACAGTGACAGACACTGCAGGGGGAGCTGAGCACAAACTCTGAACAAAGAGCCTGGCTGCTGAGTGTCTGTGACTGTTCGATCCACTGAGGTGGATTTTATTATAAAATATCAAATACAAATTTCCAATATTTTATGCACATTAATAGAGTTGTTCGGATAATTAGACTTCCACATGTACAGGGAGATCTAAGACAAAGGAAGGCTTTCATTTAGGAAATATTGCACTAAAACCTGGAAATAAAAATTATTTCAATGTTTAATATATATTATATGTATTGGTATGACTCTACATTTCTTTTTATGATACAATTAATATAATAGGATATTAAAAAAATGGCCCTCCTAATAAGTAAGTGTGAGGTTTATAAGCAAGACAGTTAAAGTCTGCCTTGATTCAACTTTTTCCTAAGTCCTTGAGCACAAAATTTTTACACAGTTTTTTAAAATATGGTTTTTATTGATTTCAGAGAGGAAGGGAGAAGGAGAGAGAGTTAGAAACATCATTGATGAGATAGAATCATTGATCAGCTGCCTCCTGCACACCCCCTACTGGGGATCGAGCCCATAACCCAGGCATATGCCCTTGACCGGAATAGAACCTGGGACCTTTCAGTCCACTGGCCAACGCTCTATCCACTGAGTCAAACCAGCTAGGAGCTACACACAGTTCTGGTAATGAGTGTTTTCCATCTTCTTTTAATATGTTTTTAGAGGGTTTAGAAATGTACTTTTAGAAACAGTTCATAAAAGATTCTGAATTGTAAAAGAATGAAGGTTGAGGGACACCTGATAAAAATGTAAAAGTTGTTATTAACAGTTGGCTTCCTTATGCTCTGCTATATAAGGTATTGGACTATCTTAATTTTAGTTTCATCCCTTTCTGTAAATCTTAGTTTCTCCTTAATGCTTCATCTCTGCCAGTTTTCCTTTTTCTTCCTATCTGAATATTAATTTTTGAAGCTGTCTTTTTTCTTAGATCTTAGCTTGTAGGAGTTAACTTAGTTCCCTAACTTGGTGTTCTCTGGGAGCCCCCTAGACTGTCTCTTCAGCAGCATTGACCTTCTTTTGGGGTATCTCTTTGGTGGGTATGGTGGATTCAGTGGGTCGGTGGGTGGAGCTTCAGTCTTTGTGCTCAGGGCAGCAGGAAGAGTCCCATCCTATGTGCTCAGCTTTCTTGGTTGTTTTCTTTTAGGATTTTCTCTTATATGACATGTAGCAAGATTTAAAAATTTTGATTCAATCAAATAATTGCGTTTTATATGTGTTTTGATTACTGATATATTTGGACTTATTTCTAATATTTTGCTTTTGCTGCACATGCTCTTGGTGTTTTCTTTTTATCTGTCTTCTGTTGCATTGAAAAAAAATTTTTCTCTCTGCTGCTATGAAAAATGTGATGTGTTTTCTCTCCAGTATCCTTAAATTATGTGTGTGTGTGTGTGTGTGTTATCCTATAATATTTCCCCCTGCTATATCTCACTCCTTGTCCTTCAGAGGACTTTTTCTCTTGTTAATTTACTATCTTTAGAATGACCTCAGTGGCTGGTTGAATACATGACATACTAGCAGCATTTTAGGATAATAATTTCAGATAAAGTTTATCAAATCAGCTGATAAATTATAGTTCCAATGCAAATTAAGAAGAATAGAATAGAAAAACATCCCACATGATAATCAGAACAGTATTCATCCCATTCTCCATCAGAGCCTTTGTCCCTGATCTTCCCTCTGCCTAGAGTGATTTTCACCTTATTTTCAACATATTAACTGTTTGTTCATAGGAGAAGGACTATATGGACAGTAGTATACCCATAGTATGGGATATAATTCAGCAGAAGGACCTGTGTGTGTTAACATAGACTTAAATTTATTATTGATTTTATAGAACAAGTTACAGAAAGGTATGCACAATATGTCTATTTGTATTACAATAAAGTATAAATTAAACACTATACTATACATTTTCCATTGATTTAAACCTAGAATACAAAACCCCCAAACCATCTACTGCAAATTGATCAGGATGAAGAAAGAATTGGAGGAATAAGTGATGGAAGAATGAGAATTTGGAGTGGTATTCAAAGGGGATTTTAGTCTATATGTAATGTTTTATTACTTTTAATAACTCATATATTCATGATTTCCTCCTATTAAAATTAATAGATATGCATTGCCATTATAAAAGTTTATTCATATTCTTTATTCTTCTCACCAATATAGGAGAAAAGAAGAAAATGACATCTTCTTCAGAGTTTGTTCAACCACCCCAAGTATAAGCAGTTTTCTTCCTCTGGGATCATATAAGTTTTAGTTTTCACTCCTCTTAGGCTCCTACCCTGGTTGTATTATAGTTATGTATATTTTTGTCTTCCCTAGTAGCCTGTAAATGAGTATGTCTCTTTTGTATATTCTTAAGACTTAGTGAATTACCTCATTTACACTAAAACTTCAATAAACTTTTATGGATTTACTGCAATCAAAGGTAAATAAATCAAGTAAATAGCAGAAGATGAGATTTATCAAATTATTTTAACATAATTATTTTCATGAAATGACACTTTAAAAGTAGAATTTGGCTCCTTTTTATTCCATTTATTGGGGTAACATTGGTTAATAAGACCATGTAGGTGAATTTGTTCATTTTTAATCTCCACTCAGCCTTGGCAGTCTCTTTGTTTTCTGACTATCTGCATTTAGTTAACCAGTGAACAGAGGGAATGGGCTGGGGCTGTGTGACTGCTGAGTGAGCTGTTCTAAAGTCCTCCTTATGATGGTTTTGGCCACTAGGGGGCAAGGTAGGCTGAACAAAAGATGACTTTCTTATGGTTCTGAGGGTTGAGCAGTTAAGTTAGGAGATCTATAGCATGTGAACAAGTCAAAGCATAGCAGCAAAAGTGAGGAGATAGTTAACAGTGTTTGTGTAGAGTTCACCTTAGATTTTTGGCTCTGCCACTCTATGTAAACTTCAGAGTGTTGGAGTTAGTACTCTAAAAATACATTGTGACAATGATTCTCTGAGCAGAGGTACAGGAGTAAGAATATTACTGGTCATTGTGAACCTGGAAGCTCAACAGTAAACATCGCCATAACCTGTTTCAGTTTTTTAATTGTTAGGACTAAAATTCCCAAATCTACTGACCCATAAATTATTCCCATATTCCAAATAACCTACCTTTTCATCTATCTCTGTGAAAGTAGAAGGAACAAAAATAAATGGAAAAGAAGAAAACAGAAGGAAAATAAGAAACAAAAATAGAAGAAAAGAGAGAGGACACTATTTAATTTGACCAGCAAATGTGGTTGGATCAGAATCAGCTATCTGGGTCAGGAGCGTGCCCAAGAGTTGGACAGGAGAAGGGGAGAGGTGGAAATTAAGTCAAAGTGGAAATTATATACAAATTCTATTTTTCATCAAGCAAATTTTGTTGAAGCTATTTTCTCTGAAGATGGTGACCGTATGTCTTGGTTTCTAGAACTCTCCTGATGTCAAGAAACTCATTTATTTCTGCAATACACAATGCATGCTATCATATAGCATTCTTGTATCAGAATTTTCATGTAACTGAATTCAAAAAGTTCTCTGTCAAACTATGCAATTTAGGAACTGGGTCATTCTTCTTGGGATTCTTCAAGGTTCTACATAACTCATTGAAACACTGATAATCTAGAAACACCATCCACCCTTCCTCATACACTATTCCACAGACTTCGCTTATAGAATGTGTTTTAAGAGAAATCACCAGCTTATACCTTCATTTATTGGAAATGTTGACTCCTACAGTCCTGCACTATTTGTATTCACAATTTTGGAGAGATGACTGTGCCATCTCACTGGGCCACTGTGGGTGGAGTTTGCGGTTAAGATGAATGACAGAGTTGAGAGGTGATTGGTCCTCAGTGAGTCTGGTGAACACACTGAGTGCAGGAACAACATTTGCCTTGGTCCAGGACTCTACAGCCTCCAGGGCAGGGGCAAAGGCACCACAGCACCTTGGCAAGACGTCATGGAGAGACACCTGGGGGCTCTGCTGGGGCTTCTGTGGGCCCACGTTTGCTGTGAGTTCGGGTGTCCCAGATGGGCAGCTGGGGAGTGTTCCACAGCTGACAGAGAAGAGGCGGGAGGCAGGGAGGGGGGCGGAAGGTGAGCTGACACAGAGCTCCACTTTGGTATTTCTTGGGATGCTGTACCGGTTTGAAAACTACATCAATCACCCTCAGTGACCTCATATGTGTTTGTTTGTTTGTTTGTTTGTTTGTTTGTTTGTTTTCCAAGCAGGGGTGACAGGGATGAACGTGGAGCAGAGTCCTTCAGTCCTGAGCCTCCAGGAGGGAACCAGCTCTACTCTGAATTGCAATTTTTCTACCACAGTGCTCAATATGCAGTGGTTCCGACAGAATCCTGGGGGCGGCCTCATCAATCTATTTTACCTGACTTCAGGGACAAAGCACAGTGGAAGGTTAAGCTCCACACTGAATACTAAGGACCTGTACAGTACCCTGAGCATCACAGCCTCCCAACTGGAGGACTCAGCCACCTACTTCTGTGCAGCGAGGGCACAGTGCTGCCAGGTGATCTGCAGCCTGTACCCAAACTGCAGCTGGGCCTGCAGCACCACTCGTTCCACGGGCAGGCATGTTGCTCCACATCAGGCTTTGAACATATTTGGGTTTTCATATTTATGTTCCAGAACTTTTTTCTACTAAAATTAGACTCTTCAGCACTATCATTTCATTTGGTTTCCTGCCCTTTTTCTTCCAAGAATTATCTTTCCAGGTAAAAAGCTCTAATATGTAAGCATTAAAAGAATTGATGAAGATACCAACATGCAGATAACAGATCTCCTTGAAGGTAATACATATATAACACATAAATTACTCTGCTGGTAAAGGCTTGGAAAAATATAGCATCATCTAGAAGTAGAAAGAAATGACCCATTTTTTTTTAGATGACAGAATTTTCTACTTTCAAGGAAAAAGGAAGGAGCCTTTGTAATAGTTTTTAAAGTTTGTATTAGGCTTATTGACTCCCAAAAATAACAAGTATAAGAAAAATAATTTGTTTGAAGATCAGGAACTCAATTTAGCTTATCACATATATTATCTATTTCTGTACTTATAACAACCTGTAAATAAGTACTCTTTGTCCTTTCATGCCTGAATAAAGTGAGGATTGTACAGCACAAATGAATTGTAT